CGGTCCTCCTCCGAGTAGCATAGACAGCTTCGATACCCACCGGACACAACATAACCGAAGAACTCACAAAGAAACTAATAAAAAACTTCTACAAAAAAAGATCAAAAACTCATCGGAGAAACTAATCGACAACTCATACAAAAAAAAGACCAAAACTCATCGGAGAAACTAATCGAAAACTCTTAAAAAAAAAGACCAAAACTCATCGGAGAAACTAATCGAAAACTCTTACAAAAAAAGACCAAAACTCATCGGAGAAACTAATCGAAAACTCTTACAAAAAAAGACCAAAAACTCATAGGACAAACTCCCTGAAAGCTGCTCTCACAACATTTCCTTTTTTTTTTTCTTTCTGAAAATATATGTATACATAATATAAAAATAATAATAAAAATAAACAAAACATGATAAATTTTAAGTATGAATTTTTTAAAAATTGAAATCAATATTATTTATCTTATACAAAATATTATATCAAAATACTATTCAAAAAAATCGAATCAACTTTTTATTTCAAATCAATTTCAAAGTACAATCAAACAAACTAATAATATTTATTGATATAAAATAATATAAAAATATACATTTTTACAATATATAACCATTTGTGATGTTGTAGTTCGTTATTTTATAATATTTATAAAATATGTGAATTAGAAGAATAAAATTGTCTGACAACAAACAAATATATATTCCTTTATATTTATAAATAGGTTATACTCCCTTCGTCCATAACAAAGTATCCATTTACCTTTTGCGTCATTGTACTTAACCGTTAAAAATATCTTTATATTTGCATAATTTTTTATACAAATGTCATTATATTAGTATTATAAGACACTAATAGAAATATTTTTGCAATATTTTCTTTATTTGTAATACATTTTGATATAATAATTAATATTCAAATATCAACGTGCAAAAAATAAATGGGACGGAGGGAGTATTATTTTTCTTTTATTTGAAAAACCAACCCCTCTTTAATCAAGTTTAATTGTTTCGGTCACTTTAACTTGGTGAATTTGTTTGCAATAGTCCACAAATATCAATCAACATACAACCAATTAAAATTAATAGCTCTGTGGTTCACCAAGAACACTTCTGTAGAAAATTTATCTCGGTGGAATGTTCCAATATATAATGCAAGCTTCATAAAATAGATTTTTACGGACGAGCTTTGGAAGGTCTGTTACCTCTCTTCTTTTTTTTTCTTTTTTTCTTGATAAGATGACTAAGTGGAAACATTCTATCACTTGTCATACAGATAGTATTTAGCCGTCATTTTCTTTTATCTCCGTAAATCATGCATTTAATTATCCTTTAATGTGACTGAATATACCAACTTCATCAATTACTTATAAGAATTTGAGCCAAACCTATGCAAGACATACATCACGTAATATAACAGCTTCTATCCGAAACGTTGTTACAAAAAAAAAAAAAAAAAACAACAGTTCCATTTCCAATTTCTTTAATTTGGTTATCATCACCTATCTTTGCTATACTTGTTATGGACTCATTGATATCCAAAAATAAACTTTTGTTTTCCAATGTGTTGCTACAACTGCGGTCAAGATATTAGTGACGTCCGATGTAATGAAAAATAAAAATATGGCATGAGTGAGAATTTTTTGCAGATTAATGCCCAAAGATAAATAGACTATAAGGAATAAGCATGATTCTTTTATTAATATTAGTTAGAATCAGTCACTAGGATTTAGGATGTTTCCGGTTTTTTTTTTTTTTTTTTTTTTTTTTTTTTTTTTACACTAGTTACAAAATTTTAATTAAGAAAACTTGATATTTTTATTTACATATTTTTTAGAGAAATTTATTTGAAGTTGATTTTTTATTTGAGAGAAAAAAAATATTATATTTTTATTGAGATCGTATTATGGCCCGAATAATAAATTTTTTTACTTAAAATAAAGAAACAAACAAATCCTTTATATTAGTGTTTATTTTTATTATAATATAAAATATATATACATTAGTTTGAGATGAATAAAATTAATAAAATGATACAACAACAAAAAGTGTAGATAATATGTTAAAAACAAAATATAAATTTATTCCCTCCGTTGAATTGAAATTTTACCATTTTCTATTTTGGTCCGTTCCAAAACAACGTTACAATTTCCTAATTTAGTAATTGTACTACTTACCTAACATAATAAATACCCTTTCAACTTATATTATATTACACAAATGTCATTACTTTTATATTACACCTATTTTTGTCTTTTTTTACTACAATCTAATATAATTCTAATATTCAAAAATCTATGTGCAAAAAGCAAATATTACCGTTCCAATGAGACGGATGGAGTATATTAATTGAATTGTAATAGTTCGTATCTAATAAAATTAGGCGTTGAAATTATTATTTTTTAATTTTATATGAAATTATGAAATTATGAATTATAAAAATATTATAAAGTTCAATCTTAGCTTATTTATAAAATATTATAAATATTGGTTATATTAAAATTATTTTGTGTACCTTATTCGAAGACTTTTACAAAATTTATATAATTAATTATTTTTTTAATAAAAAGTATCAAATTAGATATCTAAATTTAATTTTTATTTGTATTATATTAAAATTTAATTTTAAATTTAAAGTATATAGAAATATAACATTCATTTAAATTATATCAACTTTAAAACTCAAACTCAAAATCTAAATTCTATCCAAACTCATCGTTTTTCTTTTTAAAATGATTTTATTAAAAAAATTAAATCCATCCAAAAATAAATCTGATTGGACAAAGATATGATTTGAAATCATATAATGTTAAGTATCTCTTTATCTATACCTAATAAATCATGTCCTAATTCTCTCTCTATATATATATACATACTTACAGGGAGGTTTAGTGATAATATTTTTAACCCTCAAGTTCTTTAATGGCAACTTCTTTTTCTTCGACTACCATGGATAAAGAGGAATTCAGAACCCTAAGAAGCTCCGCCGAAAAAGAATTCAAGATTTCCAAAGCCATTGCCTTACCATCATCCCACATTGCAAATTTACTTGATCAGGAAGAAGACAGCAGGATCAAACATAATTCCTTACATAATTGCTTTCCTTGAAGTCGACGGATTAACCCTCGACAAGATAATTGGTTTCCTCAATATGTATACAGAAGAATCTCCAGCAATTCACCACTGGAGAAAAGGAAAAACACTGCAATGATTTCTTCGTCAACGGTAAGATCCACGACTTTCTTACCCTCGCCTCTGCTGCTACGTACGTCTATTTAAATAGATAATCAATTATCCATTTAAATAGATAACCAATATACATTCAAGATAATAGTTAATTGATTCATAGGTTAACCCGTCTCTTGAACTCTCCCATGTGACTTTAGAATTCCTCTTAATTAACTCAAATGCACAAGTTTAATTACATGCCATCATTTCCCCATCTTAAACTTGTGCGTCATCGAGCTTTAACTCCAAGTAAATTTTTCAAATGTTGGAAGACGTCACCCTTTAATGCCTTTGTCAAAATATCCGCGACTTGTTCTCTTGAGTTCACATGTACCAATTTGACCTCTGCTTCTTTAATTTTTTCTCGGATAAAGTGGAAGCGAGTGTCAATGTGTTTGGAACACTCGTGATGAATTGGATTTTTTGCAAGTGCAATCTCCGACTTATTATCCACATAAATCTTTGTCGCATCCTCCAGTTGCAACTTTAATTCTTGAAGTAGTTTCCTCAACCAAACCGCATGACAAACACAAGATGATGCTGCAATATATTCCGCCTCACAAGTACACAAGTCAACAACAAGTTGCTTCTTTGTGGACCAAGTAAACGCGCTATCACTGTAGAAGAACATGAATCTGGTTGTACTTTTACAATCCTCGTTGCTTCCAGCCTAATCGCTATCACTAAATCCAACAAGTTTTGCATCTCCATTACTTGGATATAACAACCCATTATCCATCGTTCCTTTATCACTACCAAAAAAATGACTTCTTGTAGCGGTTAAAAATTTGTAACGAAAACTCAATTTTCGTGCAAAATAGTCTTTTGTGCCGACTTTATTACAGATTTTGACCGCTTCTAAAAGTCGCGGTACAAAAATTCTTTGTCGCAACAAAATCCGTAACAAATAAGTGGCGGTTAACCCTCAAAATAAGCATGTTTTAATTGTATTTGTTACGTTTTTTTGTACGTAACAAAATAATCGATCATATTTTTAGAACGACATATATTCGTAACAAATAATACGGCACAAAAGTTAAAATCTTGTCAGAAAACTATTTGTTACGACATATGTCTGGAATGAAAAACACGGTACAAAAGTGGCATCTTGTCATAAAACATTTTGTGACGAAACTGTCCGTAACAAAAATTGCGTTACATAATTAAAATTCTGTCAGAGAACTATTTGTTACGAAATTTGTCCATAACAAAAAATTTGGTAGAAAAGTCATGCGACCGTAAAACACCATTTGTACTGGTCATTATCTGTAACTAAAAAATACTCTTTGTATCAAATAAGAGTTTTGTAGCTACAAATAAAATACAATTGTCTAAAGTAGTATTTGTTACAGATCCAATTGCGTGACAAATAATTTAAAAGCATAATTTTATCATAACTAATCCAGAATCCTTGTTCATACCTACAAAACGACATCAATCCAACGAATTTCATAGTCATGCTCAAAATAGAATATTAGGCATCAACAGTGCTTTAAAGCACCACAAAATACTACCATGTCGTACAACATAACAACCAACTAACAATCTCAAACATACGATCCCCAAATCCAATACGTAATAGCTTATAGATAACTTCGGTATCAAACCGCAATTAAAGACAACTTCAAACTACCAAGCTCGTCGAGTGCATAATCACTGCAGAAGCAATCAGGGGCGGGCTGCAATGAGTTTTCAATGATATATAAGAATTTATCATCAATTGAAGTAATTTAATTCCCAAAATATAAAAAATGCATACATCCTTGTAAGTCACTCTATGTTATCTCCGTCAAGTACCTCACTGAAGATTCGCTCTTCCATTAGTTGGAAAAATAACTGCGGTCTCCAGGATCATAACAGCTATAACAAATACATTGACAATGACTAGGATATCACTTATATAATATGCAGTTGATAAGTTTCGATCAAACTATTATTACCAAAAATAATTTTAGGGATAAATCATGGAGTAAATAAATACGTTTTATAATATCAGGAACAATAAGGGTGTGTTTGTTTGAGGCTTTATTGAGAAAAGTTTTCCTCTACTTAACAAGGATCACATCTCAATAATATGAAAAACAAATAGACCTTAAAGCTACACCAAAAATTTCCTATCAAATTTATGTGTAAAGTATCTACTAAAAATATGCATATAATCAACAAAGCAACAAAACCAAAACATAACATGCACTATCCATCCGTATTAATCAACCCTGAGTTTTTTTTTTTAAAAAAAATTTCTAATAATAATGAAATATTCACCTTAGTTTCAGCTCTTTAGAATATAATAATAAAATAATAATACATTTATGGAATATGTACAATTTAAATGCATGCATTCACAAACATGTCAATATCAATGACACCCAAGATCCACCCAACAACAATCAAAAGCACTACATATAGGATACATCAAGAAACACTAAATTACGTTTAATATCTAAACAGAAGTTACTGAATGGATAACTAACAAGTATTACGAACATAAAAATAAAACAATCCTAGAGAGCAAGTAGAAATCAAACACACGAACAATGGGAAAATACTTAAAATTTCATAGCTATTACATGTTAAAATTACGAGCGAACCTAGGCTAAGGGCGGACAACATGATCCCCCCACCCACATGTTTTTTAAGGCCTCGGGACATTAAAAGAACACGAGACTCAATCTACATGAAAGTGATTGCAACTATCAAGAGCATTCTTATAGGCTAACAAAGTATAAGTAAAATACAATGCTAATTTTCTTAAACATTACATTGAAACCCCATCACATATCTATATTAACTAACCGCCAATGTTAACTACAATTTATTTACTCAGAATCATATTTCATATAGCCATAGCCATCCTACTTAACCACCAATCAACCTAGGGATAAACATATCCTAACATTCATAGAAATAAAAATAAAAATAAAATGAAAAGGCTGTGATAGGATGTAATAAAATAAAATACAATTTTGATGAATCCTAATCAAAGTATTACTTTATGTGCATCATGCATTAAAAGGTAACTTAATGATCAAAAGCACTACATATAGGATACATCAAGAAACACTAAATTACGTTTAATATCTAAACACAAGTTACTGAATGGATAACTAACAAATGTTACGAACATAAAAATAAAACAATCCTAGAGAGCAAGTAGAAATCAAACACACGAACAATGGGAAAATACTTAAAATTTCATAGCTATTACATATTAAAATTACGAGCGAACCTAGGCTAAGGGCGGACAACATGATCCCCCCACCCACATGTTTTTTAAGGCCTCGGGACATTAAAAGAACACGAGACTCAATCTACATGAAAGTGATTGCAACTATCAAGAGCATTCTTATAGGCTAACAAAGTATAAGTAAAATACAATGCTAATTTACTTAAACATTACATTAAAACCCCATCACATATCTATATTAACTAACCGCCAATGTTAACTACAATTTATTTACTCAGAATCATATTTCATATAGCCATAGCCATCCTACTTAACCACCAATCAACCTAGGGATAAACATATCCTAACATTCATAGAAATAAAAATAAAAATAAAATGAAAAGGCTGTGATAGGATGTAATAAAATAAAATACAATTTTGATGAATCCTAATCAAAGTATTACTTTATGTGCATCATGCATTAAAAGGTAACTTAATGATCAAAAGCACTACATATAGGATACATCAAGAAACACTAAATTACGTTTAATATCTAAACACAAGTTACTGAATGGATAACTAACAAATGTTACGAACATAAAAATAAAACAATCCTAGAGAGCAAGTAGAAATCAAACACACGAACAATGGGAAAATACTTAAAATTTCATAGCTATTACATATTAAAATTACGAGCGAACCTAGGCTAAGGGCGGACAACATGATCCCCCCGCCCACATGTTTTTTAAGGCCTCGGGACATTAAAAGAACACGAGACTCAATCTACATGAAAGTGATTGCAACTATCAAGAGCATTCTTATAGGCTAACAAAGTATAAGTAAAATACAATGCTAATTTACTTAATTTAGACATTACATTAAAACCCCATCACATATCTATATTAACTAACCGCCAATGTTAACTACAATTTATTTACTCAGTGTCATATTTCATATAGCCATAGCCATCCTACTTAACCACCAATCAACCTAGGGATAAACATATCCTAACATTCATAGAAATAAAAATAAAAATAAAATGAAAAGGCTGTGATAGGATGTAATAAAATAAAATACAATTTTGATGAATCCTAATCAAAGTATTACTTTATGTGCATCATGCATTAAAAGGTAACTTAATGATCATAAATTAACTTGCACATTATAAACCTCATAATGGATCTTTAGAATATTAATTTTTGAAAATAATAATATATTTAAAAAACTAAAATGGTACTTTGTCCCCCCTAAAATTAAATTGCAAAAGGAACTTGTCCTAGAGGCAGTGATGACAAAGTAAAAGACAAAAGACTGAAGTAGCAGCCAAAATATTTTCCAAGCAGAATAAAAAAAGTCAAAGATGGGATCAGAGGTGGCGTACCAAGGGGTGGCATTTTCGACTTTCTTTGAGGTAGAGATCCGCAGGCTGAAGATAAATGTTCAAACAATTTCCATCAAATTCTGACACGAAATTTTGTTCATGTTAAACATAGTTCAAGCTCTTTCATACCTGATTGGCCATTAATGAACAAATCATTGACCAAATGATTTGGAATGTGGAATAGGTACCACTTCACAGCAGCAAGCATAGCTACAAATTTCACTCAACAATAAGATACAAGCAACAAGGATTCAGCAATAAATTTTTTACTTGCAAGATGGAATCTCAGACAAGTTTTTCAAGCATTTTCCAATCAAGTTAAAAAAAATTGAAGTTGGGTACAAGTAGATAAGTTAGAAGTACTATTCAAAGCAAGTTTTTCAAGCATTTTCACAAGGTTAGCTACAGTTTCATCCTTAGTTGTTTATTCGACAGATCAGATGATCACTGAAAGAAATCCATAGCTCACACATGATCTTCTTGTTGTTTCAGTTAATGTTGTAAGGAATTTGCCACGAACAATTTGTAGCAAACATCAAATTGCTAGAAATAGTCAATTTTTTGGTAGTGATAACTATTTTGAAAACAACTAAATATATACAATTCGAAAACAAAGCATAACAACAAACATACAAATTCCAGTACAAATGCAAGTTCAACCAACGGTAAAAACTCGCTCAGTATCAATCCACAAACACAAGTCAATTATCATAGAATTACGTGCAATAATGCATTGTCTTTTTGCCTCATGCAGCGTCAAAGTGTTTTAAGTTTGCTTACCAAACTATCATCATCACCAACACGTGCCTGCATGCGAGACGATATCCAAATTTCCAAATTGTAAGGGTCTTTCCCTTTTGCCTTTATCTAAGAGTTAGCCAAATAAGAAACCGGTAGCCAAGTTCACTTAGACATAAGGAATGAAAAACATAACTAGGAATGATAACTTCAAATATCGATAGGAAAGACACAAAGAAGATAATGAAGGACTTTTTCAGCCAACGTCGTGAATGGTTTCTTGCTTGTCTTGTGCAGAAACTTTCTTTTGATGGCATTATTGGTATTTCTCCTTGTAACATCCTGTAAACACCAACTAAAGGGTGCAATAGCATGCAGACGGATCCCTGCCATGGTGGGGAGTGCCCATGCCCTCACCAAAAGGTTTGGATCCCCCAAATCCTACTTAAAATAAGATATTGAAAGCAATGTCCTGCTTGGCTACCTATAATATAAGAAAGCATATCACTCATTGTCAGTTTCTCCATTAAAAGAATCAACAAGGGTTATTTCACATATATTCATTACAATAAAGCTTGAACCTATTGGATCACAAGAAAAACTGCAAATCAAACTGCAAACACGAATGTATTGAAGGCATACTTTTTGGTGTAATGAAATAAGTACAAGTGAACTAGCTTCTTAACCTCCCGTGACTACCATGTTACATTTTTAACCACCTGTAATCCATTTTTAAACACCTGTAATCCAAAGAACAAGTCTTCTAACCACCTAACTTCAAACCAAAAACGTCAAGTAATCAAAACAAAAAGAAAAAATAAAATGTCTTATTGAACTAAAAATATTAAATGAGGAACAATTAGCAGAGAGATTCCAGAATAGCACATCAGCTCACGCTAGGAACTAATCTGTGGGAAGTAACACATTGAACATGCACCCCCATGCCCTTACCTGTAAATACATATATATCCAACACAAGAATTTGTAAGAAAGAAGAATCACAACATTAACAACAAATATAATTAATTAATTAACTAAATTAATCTCAAGGCACAAATACACACACACACATATATATATATGGGGTAGGTCTCTATACCACTATCAAGTAGGGGTGTAAAATAATGCAATGAAATAATATATATTAGAGATCACTTAATGATCAGGTTGGCATATTCAGTGATATCAGAAATAGTTAGCTTCCGAAAAAATTTTATGTCAAGATGTATGAAGACAATCTTGTAGTTGCCACACAATGAGTTGTTTTTCTAACTCAACTAGGTATTGATCTTAGGTAGTTTTACCTATTAATGAAATGGTTTGCAAGTGAATTAAGTTGCAGTGCAGAGATCAGAAACTCAAAACAAGGGAATCGATGTGAAAATTTTGAATTGAGATGAAAGCTCCAAATCATAAAAACACATAGTGAACTTAAACTACAACTTCAACAATAAGTTAGTGGTGGATGGATGCAACTGTTGGACTGTAGCACATATGTTATATGTATGATCCATATAGAAAATATTGCATGATATATAAGACTTGAAGTAAGAACACTTTACTAAAATCATCTGACAACTATCAACACATAAAGCGAATGTCCAAATGATCAAAACACACACATAATAAATAAATAAATAAATAAAGAAAGAAAGAAAGAAAGAAAACAGTGCAGCAGACCACAACAGAAAAGGACATGTAATTTTTTTAAATTGTATTCAATTTTTATAATTTTAATTCTTATTCATAAGTAGCAATCCTCCAATCTATAAGTTGAGGTCAGCTCAGTACAACCAAGTTCTTTTTCGTTTCCCTTTCTTTTCCCCTTTAATGCTTGCTAATCATCAATTTTCGGCTCATGACCTGTCCACCAAAATTTCCCTCAAAAGCTTCCACCTACATAACCATTTCATTACTAATTAATTTCTACAAATATACATGTAATACAGACAATCCTATCATGAATAACACCTAAACTAGCTTTCAAGATATGACTATTTATGCGTTCCACAAAATATCACATATATACAAGCACACTAAATTATTCAATTGCTACTCAGTAATCTCCCGGCTAACTGAAAATACAAAATTTAGGGATACATCATATAGAAAGAAAGATATTTATAAGACAATGGAATCAGACACGCATCAATTCAAAGGATCAATAAAGAGGGGAATCAACACAATCATCTACATTACCATGAACTGACAAAAAAAAAAAAAAAAACTCAATGACATTGTAAAACCCAAAAATTTGGCAAACTGAAAAAAAGGATATAATCAAACTAAATAGCTCTCATACAGGAAGACGCCGGTGAAGCGGGCGGCGGTCGAAGGACCGGTGGGGAACGAGGAACGGCGGGATTCGGCGATTATGGTTGGACGGCAACTGCTGGTCGGTGCGTCCGTGGAGGACGGGGCGCTGCTCGCAGGGCGTTCCTGACTTTCAAAGGTAGGTGAAATAAAAGTTAAGGGACAGGTGAAATAAAAGTTAAACGGCCTTAAATATATATATAATATTTTTTATCTATAATAAAATATAAATAAAAAATATATATATTTTTTCTAGCATAAATTTTAAAAATTGTCTAACGTTTTTTTTTATTTTAACAAACGTTATATGAAATCCCGCCATGCAAAATATATAAACGAAAAGTCATCTTTTCATCACCAAAAAAATATAAAAATGAGTCTAATTAAACGTTTTTTAAAGTATAAGGGGGTTCATGCCATTTTTAAACTATATAGAGGATTTACACCGAGTTTCAAAATTATAAAAGAGTTACTGATAATTTTGCCTAATAATAATAATAATAATTTTGTCTAATATATATTATCTTTTTAGTGCAAAAAAAAAAATAATTAAAACAAAAATAAAAGACCCCTAAATATATACAAATGATCTACTCAGATTTTCTTTTAATATTTTTAAAATTTAAAGGTACTTGGGTTTGAACCAAAAACCTAACTTAATTATAATAAATTTAATGTCAAATAATTTCTATATATAAATAATTTTTATATAACATAAATAAATAATGGGCTCAATTTAGATTGGGCCTAAGCGGTCGTCCCTTTCGCCCGAGCCCAGGGACAGCCCTGGCTGTTGGTCGGGTGCGTCCGTGAAGGACCGGGCGCTGCTGTTGCGGCGAGCACGGACCGCTGGTCGGGCACGGCGGCAGTGTGGCTGGAGCGGCAGGCGAGGTACGCATTCACGAGGAATTGATGGAATTTGTGGCTTCTGGAATGAGAGATTTCTGGTTGGGGGAATTCGATTGGGAAAATTTGATAGGATTACCAATTTTTTATTGAATTTTTTTCTAAAGAAATAATAATAATAAATTCACACTCTAATAAAATTTGGACATATTGTTTTAATAAAAAGAATATTATTATATTATTTATTAACCATATTTTTTAGTTGTTATTTTAAAAATATTTTATATAGATTTCTTTTTATTTATAGTTAATACAAAAAATATTTTCATTCGAACATTTTTAATATTTAATTTTTTATATTTTTCAATAAAAATTTTGTATTATAATTTTTATTTTAAAAATATTAATTTTTATTATTTTTATAACGGTTGAAAAGACGTAACAAATATAAATAAGACTATATATTCTAATAATTATTATTGTTACAAAAAAATATTGCAACAAAAGAAAGAAGAGTTGACTAAACAAAAAAAATTATTTGTCACAACAAAATTCGGTACAAAAAATAGCTTTTGCAATGAAAAATTGTTTCGGATGAGAATCCGCTACAAATAGACGTTATTTTGGTAGTGTTTGATGTATTTGAGAATTCGCTTGGCCGCCTTCAAGTGAGATATTATTGATTTTTCCATGTATCGGCTTACCAACCCAACTCTATGAAGGATGTCTAGTCGGGTGCATGTTAACTAACGAAGACACCCCACAAGACTTTTGTAGTAAGTGGGATTCACCGGCCTACCTTCTCCCATTTTGGTCAACTTGGCACCATACTCTACCAGAGTATCAACAATCCCACTCTTCCATTGAGAACTTTTTTAGAATCTCCTTGGCATAATTTTCTTGGAACACAAGAATTTTGTCGGCTTTTTGTTGTACTTGAATTCCCAAAAAGAACTTCATATGTCCCAAGTCCGTCATCTCAAACTCCTTCTCCATGGATACTCCTTCTCCATGGATTGTTTATGTTCGATCAAGTCATTAACGTAGAGGCACACCAATAAAATATATTTTCTTGCATTTACCTTCATGTATAAAGCATGCTCATAAGGACATTTGATGAATCCAACTCGAGAGAAATATTCATCAATTCTCTAGTTGCATGAACGCGACGCTTGCTTCAAACTCTAAAGAGCTTTGTTCAATTTGAGAACTTTTCCTTCTTGGCCTTTGACAATGAAACCTGGTGGTTGCTCGACATAAACTTCTTCTTCGAGATTTCCATTCTGGAATGCGGACTTTACGTCAATTTGATATATTTTCCACTTTTTTCTGGGCTGCAACAAAAATTAGGAATCGTACAGTCTCGAGTCGAGCAACCGGAGCAAAGACTTCTTCATAGTTGATCCCAAACTCTTGTTTGTACCATTTTGCGACCAACTTTGCTTTATGTTTCTCCACTTCTCCCTTCTCATTTCTTTTTGTCTTGAACACCCATTTCACTCCAATGGCTTGGTGCCCGTGAGGAAGTGGTGTAAGCTCCCATATGTCATTTTTTGTTATGACACAAATTTCCTCCATAGCTTTCTTCTATTTAATTTCCTTGGAGGCCTCTTCAAAGGTTAAAGGATCATGACCTGTAAAGAAACAAAAATTAACGAACTCATCTTCAATTACCCAGCTAGAAGCATAAATATCTTGGATCCTTTTGGTTCGAAGGATAGGACTGCTGCTGGAATCATCACTTGCGGGGCTGCTGCTCGAATCATCACTTTCTGGACCATCTCGGATGTGTTCTGAAAATGAAGATTTAATTTCTTCAGCTTCTTCTAGTCTCTCCTTGGTGATTTCAAGCTTATCTTCGAGTGGGACTTGAACGGACTGGTTTGGGAGGTTCCAATCCCATGCATGCTCTTCATCAAACTCCAAGTCTCTTGACATCACCACCTTTTGAGTCATCTGATTGTACAACTTGTACCCTCTGCAATTTTCGCCATATGCCAAGAAAATACATTTTTGGCTTTCGTCTTCAAGCTTCGTTCTTTTCTCTTCTTGCACTTTAGCATATGCAATGCCTCTGAAAATTCGTAGATGATCAATTTTTTGCTTGCACAA